TTTATTTAAGAACGTCACATGAAAATGGCTTTATATCTTGCAATCTAATCTCCTCAAAGAGTCGTGTTAGTCCTGTAAAAGTTGTGACTCTTCCTCGATTAGAACTTCTAGGAGCATTATTACTCTCTAATCTTGTTACGAAGATTCTTTCTGTCTTGATTCCATCCCAATCTCAGATAAATTCTGTCAATTTATGGACAGATTCAGAAATCGTCCTCGCATGGATTAAATCACACCCTTCTCGTTGGTCTACCTTTGTATCCAATAGAGTAACTCAAATTCAAGAACTCACTTCCAACCATACATGGAGACATGTACGATCGAAAGACAATCCCGCGGATATATTATCTCGTGGTGCTACACCCTTGCAGTTGCTTGATTGTGATTTTTGGTTTAATGGTCCTCAATTTTTGTCAGATCCACACTTTGATTTCAACCTCTTTGTATCTAATGGTCCTTCGAGTATTAATGTTGATGAACTGCCTGAACTCAAAAGGGTTACTCATCTGATCAGAAAACCAGATTCACAAGTATATGATGCCCTCTGCAAATTTTCATGTTTCACTCGACTTCAGAGAGTTTTTGCATACTGCCTTCGTTTTATTCACAATGTAAGAGCTAAGTCTCATAGACGTACAGGTCCTCTCACTCCACATGAACTCTCTAGTTCTGAGTTAATGATCATCAAATTGACCCAGTCACATTTCTTCAGTTCGGAAATCCAATTTTTAATGGATAATCGTCTGCTTAAAGATAAGTCTATTTGTAAATTGAATCCCTTTCTAGATTCGTCTCAAATGATACGAGTAGGCGGTCGTCTTCTCCTTTCAGATGTTCCTTATGATCAGAAATTTCCTCTACTGTTACCCTCAAAATCACATATTGTCAATTTATTACTTACCCGAGAACATCGAAGACTTCTACATTCAGGCCCTCAAAATACACTGTCTAATGTTAGATTGAAATTCTGGCCTCTTGATGGTCTTCGACAAATCAAACGTATAATACAAAATTGTCTCACTTGTTACCGTTTTAACGCACAAGTCGCGTCTCAAATCATGGCTAATCTCCCGAGGGAAAGAGTTCAAATTGCACGTCCATTTATAAATGTTGGAGTTGATTTTGGTGGTCCGTTTCCCATCAAGACCTCTAAACTCAAGAGAGCTCCCCTTACTAAGGCCTATATGGCAGTGTTTGTATGTTTAGCTACTCGCGCCGTGCATGTGGAATTAATTTCCAGTCTTTCTACTGAAGCGTTCTTATTGACTCTGAAAAGGTTTATCGCCCGAAGGGGTAATCCGAATATCATTTTCAGCGATAATGGCACAAACTTTCTAGGTGCGAAAAACCAATTGAAAGAACTTTATGAGTTGCTTCTTAAAGGTGATACCTCTGAATCTATTCGCTCTTTCGCTACTTCGTGTCAAATTCAATGGAAGTTTATCCCTCCACGCTCACCACACCACGGTGGTATTTGGGAAGCTGCCATAAAGAGCTTCAAATACCATCTCGTAAGAATAATGGGTAACTCCAATTTTACTTTCGAAGAACTATCCACTGTACTTTCGCAGATCGAGGCAGTGCTCAATTCACGCCCTATCTGTGCGCTCTCAGATGACCCTTCCGATTTTTCCTTTCTTACTCCCGGACACTTCCTTATTGGATCTAATTTAATGTCTTATCCTGAATCAGATCTTTCTGATATTCAAGAAAATAAATTGTCTTTGTGGAATAAATGCACAAGAATTCAGCAGCATATGTGGAAGGTTTGGACCCGCGATTATCTTAATAGGCTGCAAAATAGACCTAAATGGTTCACTCCTCAGGTAGGCATAAAGCCTGGTGATCTCGTCTTGCTTAAGGACGAAAACTCGCCTCCTCTCAAATGGCCTATAGCACGGGTAGTTGAGACATATCCGGGAAAGGACAACAAGGTAAGAGTTGTTAAGGTCAGAACTCCTGAAGGCTTATATGTTCGCTCTATTGCTAAACTGTGTCCTCTTCCTATGACTCACCTTCAAGAATATTAATAGTTTGTTAGTTTTAGTTATACCTTTCTTCAAATTGTACATAAACATTTTTTTTTTTTCTTTTTGATGCGTTCACATCAAGGGGGGGACTATGTTGCATATCGCAACCTAAAAAAATTCATAGGTCGAATTGCCGATAATGCAAGACAGATGCTGTTTCTATTTGCTGCACATAATTGCGAGAAATTCCCTTCTTAACCTTTTATGACGTCGACAACAGTCATTCTATAATTTCTGACATTACTCTAATATTTGTAAATTTTAATAACTCTCTAATATTTGTCACTTTTAAAATAAATCGTTCATTTTCTCCACAAAAGATTTTGTGTTATATAAAAAAAAATATAGTTTTAATTATTAAGTGTAATTTAAAGTAATTACGAGAGTGTGATCGCCAAAATATAAGGTAACCAATTTTATTTTATTATAACTACATAGAACCAAAATCGAAGGTACTGCTTCAATAAGCAGTTAGCAACATATTCAGGGGGAGAAATAAAATCCCCCTATGTTCTGCAACAAGGAAATTCGAAATAAAAACAAACCACTCACGAAACTTTATATTTATTGTAATATAAATATATTCTATGAAGTACAATAGATATCTCCATATATTTCATTCAACATTATTTAAGACCAAAAACATTTTTATAAGTAATACAAAAGCTCTATATTTCAGTTCGATTTAAGCACATTAGACCTTTTTAGCACACATGAATACAGGCACAACTTTAATTAGGAAACTATAAATGTCTACAGGGTGTACCATGCGTCTTTACCTTCAGGATGGCACACCCCGTATACATTTTGGACCGATCAGGTAGATGGAAATATTTTATATTCAATAAATACAAACCAAATGGAATAAAAATAGCTGCAAGAAATTTTATTTACAGGATTTATCTTCTTGGCTTCATAATATAACTAAGAAATAATAAGTACTTCAAGTCATACATTTAACAGCTCTTATAGTACTTACAGAACATAACATGCGTGATATAATAAAATAAAGTGAAATACGATCACTTGGGATTCCCGGATTTTATCTCAGGCTAGGCAATCGATCAGGTGTTTGTAAAAAAATGTATAGGTATCAAGTCTGCACAACCTGAGTAAAATAAGCACCATTCACAAATCGTAATAGATAACGAACCCAGTCCGGAAATTAAAATCAGGATTATTTAATGTATATAGTGAAGCCATTTTTGAAAAAGCATTACTATCTCAAAGTGAAGGAATAATAATTAACGGAAGATCTATTAACAACATAAGATATGCAGATGACACCGTGATTATGGCAAGCTCCGCTGAACAACTCCAATTACTACTAAACAATACAAACGCTTTTTGTGAAAAATATGGACTAAAAATGAATAGAAAAAAGACCAAATATATGATAATAACAAAGAATACAAATATACCAACAAACATACATTTGGGAAATGTACCGATAGAAAGGGTTGATAAATACAAATACCTAGGAACCTGGATTTCAGACTAATGATCAAACAACCGAAATAAGAGCTAGGACAGAAATAGCAAGAAATGCGTTTGTAAAAATGAAAACAATTCTCTGCAACAAAGACCTTAGATTAGAGTTGAGAGTAAGAGCACTGAGATGCTACGTGTTTTCGATATTGCAATATGGACTTGAAAGCTGGACTTTGAAGCAACAGGTTACAATATCTGGGACACTTAATGAGAGGACAGCTATATGAACTGCTAAGGCTGAAAATACGGGGAAAGATAAGAGGAGGAAGGAGTATAGGAAGAAGGAGATTGGATAGTTATATGTCGTACATGGGCCAGAGTGTCAGAAAAAGTACCATAGTAGAGAAAGTAGAAAAAGAACAGCCCAATTTTTACATTAAAAAATATTGAAGATGGCTTTTATTCTACACATCATCGTTGAAGGGCACCTAATTATCTTTGGGGTAGAGCATATTCCGGGAATTTTGTCAGAAACATCACAGGGAAAGTTTTAAATGATGTTTGTTTGATGAATGTTTTAAAAAAATTGAAAATGCAATTGACAGATGTCGACGCCATCTTTGTGAACGTGGCTTGCGACATAGAGCGGAAGTGGTATTATAAAGAATCCGCAAAAGTATTTCAGGTATAACTGGTAAATGGAATTGTTTGAGTACTTTTATGAGAAAATTACCTCAGCAGAGGTAAAAAAGGCTGACTAGTGGTTGCTGGAAGACAAAATAAATTTATTTTTATTGTAGAGGTTTTTACTGCCCGTGTTTTGTAGTCATAGATTGTTTTCCGTGCTTCTAGATCGTAGAACGGAATTATTTATTCCTGAACTTTCATCTAAGAATGCAGCAAGGTTATCAAACTCGATAAACAACGGTTCTGGCTGTCTTTTGCCTGCTGAAAGTTAGTGAAAGACAAGTCTGAACGTTGTCCCATCTATGTTTGTCACCAATAGCCTTAGAAGTCTGGAAAACAATGTATAATTCTTTTTATTGGTTAGAAAAGAAAATCTTTATTGTGCAAGCTGTCTTCACTTAATTAAATTAAAATCTTATTTTGACTTGAATAGCAAAATGCAAAGTTATCGATAGAAAATTGTAGAAAAATGGTTTTTTTGGCTGGTTTGTATTTGTCTATTGTTCATTTGTGCTATTGTTTTCAATACATAAAAAAAATAAATTGAGTACATTACTAAAAACTAAAAAATACAGTAAGCCGCAAAATCGAGCAGCCTTGAAACAATAAATTAAAAATAAAGAACAGTAGAATTATATAAAAAAGTGTATACAGCATATTAAATTCTTATCTAGACATAACGTGTATAAAATAGATTTGACTTCTTATTATTTTCAAATCATTTCTAGATGTGTATAACATATAATAATAAATAATTTACAGGTAAACCGTGTGTAATAAAGTGAGGAATTATTCAAAACTCACGCTAAAACATTGTGAATACAAACACTCGAGTAAAAATTGACAATTTTAAGTAAAAGTTCACATGTTTTATTTTATACCATTTTTGTTAAAAATTAACCACAATAATGAATAAATACTACATAAGTTATAATATAATATCCGAGTACTTCTCGGGTAAAAGTTTTAGTTTAAAAAGCAATAATATCGTAAAAAATGTATAAGACACTGTAATAAGCATATTCATTAATAAGGAGGTACTTCTTAGGCTTATATATTTGTTGAGTTGTCCTTTTGAGTACTTTCGAAGAACATGGCATCCTGAAAAAGAATAAAATTTGTTAAAAAGAATATTTAAAAGTAATAGAACTATTTTTGAAGTGGCACGTTGTCACCGCTACGCAAATTGGTCGCACAGCTCGACGGATCGTGACGTATGAGGTGTCGTTGGAGCGTGTGATACGTTAAATGAAAGGGGAGGCAAGAACGAATATAGTAACATAGCAAAAACAAAAATAAGGCGACTACCAAAAGGGCACTACACAGTATCTTCGTTATTAATGAACGTATAATTACATACGAGATATCAGATGTCACTATGGACGAAAATAGATTTACTATAAAACAGTATGTGTATATACAAACTGCTTTCTTTTTTCTTTATATTCGTTTCGATGATGTTCTTCTTTGGTTGATATCCATTTATCTCTTGCTTGGTTTTTCTGTTTGATTTTGATTTCGCATTCTGCATCAAACCACTCTTTCCTTCTTTTTATTTTCCTCTGTCCTAGCACCTCTTTAACTGAGTTTAAAATGGATTTATATTTTTATTTTTTTCCATATGTCCTCTGTATTATTTGCTTCTGTTAGATTTTCCTTTAGGGTTGTCTCATATTGTTCTCTTAGTTCCTGTACTTTTAACTTCTCCAGATTCCATCTTCTTTTGTTGTATATAACAATAATGTTAATATACAAACGCTAAATATTGCAGTTAATACAGAACAATATCACTATTCAGTCATATTCTCAAATTATTCTTGAAAAGAATACATGGTCGTATAAATAAAAAACTGGAAGAAGGAACAGGATAGATGCTAGTCAATTTGGGTTTAGAAACGGACTAGGAACCAGAGAAGCGTTATTTGCTTTCAATGTGTTAGCTCAAAGATGCATCGATATAAATGTTGATGTGCATGTTTGTTACACTGATTTTTAAAAAGCATTTGACAAAGAAAGACATGAAAAATCAGTCCAAATTCTAAAGACAAAAAACATAGACCATAGGGACGTACGAATAATAACAAACCTCTACTTGAATCAAAGAGCACAAATCGTAATAGATAACGAACCCAGTACAGAAATTGAAATCACTAGAGGAGTTAGGCAGGGATGTATTATGTCCCCATTACTATTTAATGTATATAGTGAAGCCATTTTTGAAGAAGCATTACTATCTCAAAGTGAAGGAATAATTTTTGTCTAAAACAAGTCATAGAGAAGAGATCTGCTAGACATCTGGAAACCCATCTTACATTTGTGGACCTACAAAAAGCATATGATACAGTCCCAGTATCGAGACTGTGGCAGGTATTAGAACAAACGAACATCAATCACAACTATATAACTGAACTTAAAGAACTGTATGAAAATTCACAATCAAGAATTAAGATAGGTAAAAAACTCACAGATGCCTTCATAGTGAATAAGGGACTACGTCAGGGATGTCCTATCTCTCCTACACTATTCAAAATATATGTAGCAGCGGCACTTAAGAACTGGAAAAGGAAAATACACGGAATGGGTATAGAGATAGATGACAGATATCTGTTTACTCTTCAGTTTGCAGATGATCAGGTCATAGTGGCCAATGACAAAGACGACATGCAATATATGGTTAGAAAGCTGATAGAAGAGTATGAGGAATGGGACTTGACAGTTAACGTAAATAAAACGAAATATCTATGTGTAGGCTCTCAGAGCGAAAATTTGGAGTTGGACAACGGTCAAGAAATTCTGCAATGTCAAGAATATGAATATTTAGGTATCACATTCGACAATACCGGAACAGATGTGAAAGAGATAGAAAAACGAATAGTTACAGCTAAAAAGATAATAGGATGTCTGAATGGCATCTTGTGGAGCAAGGAGATAACAAAAAGGAGAAAATTTAATATATACGAGACAATGGTTAAGAGCAGCCTATTGTATGGAGCGGAAACATGGAGAATTCCAGACAGACAAAAAAGAAGGTAGAGGCAGTCGAAATGGACGCGATAAGAAGATCTATGCGAGTCTCACGAAGAGAAAGAATGAGGAATGACCATATAAAACAACGAATGGGAATAGAAGGTACGATAATTCAGGATATCGAAAAGAAACAACTTACCTGGTACGGACACGTAGAGCGAATGCAAAATACTAGATGGCCCAAAAAAATACTGAACTGGACCCCAATAGGGAATAGAAAGCGAGGAAGACCCAAACTAGAGTGGCAGCAAAACATAAAAAAGTCAATGAGCGAACGGAATCTATCAACGGAAGATTGCCACGATAGAAGAGGATGGAAGTTAGGTGTCGAACAACGGAGAAGGACGTTCTAAACCGGCATATATATATATATATATATATATAATATATATAGTATATATATATATATATGTATATATATATATATATAATTATATATTATATATATATATATATATATAATATATTATGTGAAGGAATAATAATTAACGGAAGATCTATTAACAACAAACAACATAAGATATGCAGACACGACACCGTGATTATGGCAAACTCTGCTGAACAACTCCAATTATTGCTAAACAAAACAAACAGTTTCTGTGAAAAACATGGACTAAAAATGAATATAAAAAGACCAAATACAGTTATTGAGGTCCATAAAACTCCAAAAACCTAAATGATGAACCCATCAATTAATGATCAATTTGCCAGAGAAAAATAAGTGCTGACCACAGCCTTTAAGTCCATAAAACAACTTACCATTACAATAATTATAATAGTTTTTAAAATACTCACAATTAAGAAACATGCGCCCAACATGACAGCTTTCATACGGACATCCAAATCCATGGGGAAAGTTATACCAAAATAGTCACTATCCGTGAACATCTCCCTCATCAATCCAGACCACTGCTTGGAAATTTTCCCAACTTGCACAGCACCGTCTCCCGACATTATCTTGAACTCCACGTCTCCACAAATGCTCCAGGTGCAACATGGTCCTTCGATTCTTAAAACGGTGTCTCCACTAGCGTTCTTTATTGCGAAAGTGGGACAGAAAATGCTCCATTCTTGTTCAACGGTACCGACAATTGTGCCAGGCGGTGAAGATACTTCCATGCTCTAAAAATAAACACTATGACTATAAAAAGATTCAATAACTTTATAGACCTCACACCTATTACTTTATTTTGTCACTATTTATTTATTTTTATAATATTTTATTATCAGTTAATTCATTATGATTTAATTTAAGAATTGGGCCGAAAAAGTTTTGATTTAACTAATCTTTTTAGATATTTTTGGAAATTATTATACCTCTTTTTTCTATGGATCTAAAATCCATCGGAGTTAAAGCATGGAGAAGAGTTGTCAGAGACAGAGGCGAATGGAAGATTGTTCTGAAGAAGGCTTTGGCTCATAATGAGCTGTGATGCCACTGGTAATGATGATACCTCCTTTTTTATTTCTTTATTCATAGCAATTGAAAGTAGAGGGGGAAAATGGTTTGGGTACTTACTTGTAAGCAACATGGAAAGCAGCAGGAATCGCAGGCCAACGGTCTATGGAGATGTATAACTTCGTTCCTGTAATTATCCAGAATTTTCATATCGAAGGGTCTGATGGGACCACAACAATTCCTTGTTAAGCAATCTGAGTCTTCAGCTGCATAGTAAACCTTTTGACCTAAACTATTTTTTACTGTATACTTATTTTGGGTCTCAAAGCCAGTCAAAGCTAAAATAAAGACGTGTTTACATGCTGTGGTGTATTTTTCTTATTCTTGATGAATATTGTGCTTACCTTCAAGAATTTCAACCTTTTGTTGTACTAAAAGTTGGTCAATCATAGTAAGATATTCCAAGCCTGGCGGACAGTTGGGAATGCCTTGCGGCATATTCATCCAGCCACCTGAAAACAAAAAAAAATCAAATAATGCTACATTTACAATAAAACATACTACAGTGTGTAAAATAAGGAATGTAACTTGGGAGTATTTCTATTTCTAATCGATTTGAAAGTTATTCTGAGTAGTACATAAATACCAGGCTGAATAATTTTATTTTAATGCTTATATTCGCACGTTTATGACTGTAATTTTCAATTATAGAAAGAATGTGATGCTTGTACGTAAATAGAACGTTACAAAAAAGTATGCGTTACTCTAGTCGTTCAATAACAGAGCTAACTACTTTTGCAAAAGGTCTGGAGAGAGGAAAAGTTACCATAAATAAATTAACAGCAACAATTATAAACATTGACATTAAGTGTGGGACCAATGTTAACCTTTGGGTAGTGGCGACATTGTGTGAGGGACCGGGTACTGTTTTTTTGATGTTGGTATTAACCAGCCTTAAATTAATTTTTTTTTTTCAAAATAACTTAAAAAATATTAGTGATAAAAAAACTTGAACAGTACCTAAATAATATAGGTTTTGCTTTTCTGAACATTTTGGTTTTTTGTGTTTTTCTATAAGACAAAAATTGAGAGACCTGAAATATAGAATACCCCTAAAATACTGGATATATTTATATCTAGTATTTAAGTCAGTGTGGTCCAACCTCAGGCACGCGGGCCGCGTGCGGTCCGAGGCCCGTTAAACTGCGGCACCCGCAAACACATTTAAAAAATATTGCCATTGCCTTTTACCTGTTCCAAACCTGTCTTTTCCGTAATCTTAATGGTGCGTTTTCACCAAGCGCGCAAAATGTTTGCAAATGATTGCAACAGTTTGTAATAGTATATTACATAACGAGAGTTGTAAGAAGCTTATTACATGCGAGTAAAAAAGTTGCGCAGTAATTTTACAAGCATGTAATAAGCTAACAACTCAAGTTGTGTGCTATACTTTTACTACGATTATTTTCGTTTATAAAAATAAAAATTAAATTACCACTATATTTACACTGACAGATTAATAATTTTTAATCTGTCAAAATAACGTCTGTTAATTCGTTTCCATGGTAACTCGACCAACAGACTTACGAGGCTGATGTGATATTACACATTTTTATAAAACTGAAGCGTAATTTTTTTTATTACGTGCTAGTCATTACGTGTCAGTATCTGTTATGATGCATTTACTATAAAACCTAGTGTCTCCACCTCACACGCACGATCAACGAATCCCTTTAAAGTACCGACAGCCGACGGAACCGTACCAAACAATTGCAAACGTGTGCAGGGTGAATTTTGTGGCATCATTAGTTTAACACATTATTTTTAAATCTTTTTGCCTTGTATCACTTTTTCGAAAAACTAGTTTTTTCCTAGTTGGCCATAAAATTACAATTAGTTTCTACGGATACAATAATTACAAACAGTTCCATCAATAATAGTCAATAATTTGAAGAATCATTTATCGTGTGAGCAAGATTAATATTAAAAATTTTGATATTACAATGGCTTACACATTTCAGGAAATGGCAGATGTGCATTTAACTTTGGGTAAGTTGGATCAGATTATCCAGACGCCAAAAAACGACTCATTATCAAAGGACTTTCAAAGTGGGAATTTTGGCAATTTTTTGAAAGTTTTGGCAGGAATTGTGGAAAACAATTTAATAGGCCCAGTATTTCTTCCCAACAATTTTAATGGTGATAATTATTTGCAGTTTATGGCAAACGATTTACAAGAGTATTTGGAAGAAGTGAATATTGCAATAAGGTGAAATATGTGGTTTCAATAAGATGGCACTCCACATTAATGAAGTCCGGGAATATCTTTGCAGGCAGTATCCTGGTCGGTGGATTCAAAAGGGTCGTGACGCACCTATTTCTTGGCCACCCAGAAGTCCAGGTCTTAACCCCATGGACTTTTGCTTTTTGGGATTTATGAAAGAGACTGAGAGTGAAAGAATAAGTGTATTCTGTAACAATAGAGGACGAACAACAATTGAGGGTTAGAGTAATTGAAGCTGCAAATCAATTTCGTCTGAAAAAATTGATTTTTCAGCGCATTCGGTTTTCCTTATTAAAACGATACCGAATGTGTATTGAAGAAAATGGGGGTCATTTTTAACATTTATTGTAATATCATTTTTATAGAGATTATGTCGCCAAAATACACAATCTCGACAAAGATTGTTACTTTGGCCGGCCAATCACCGGTTATTAACTTCGCTGTCATTGGCCTCTCGGCGGAAGAGCGCTGCGAATTCTCAATTACTAAACGTATAAAAGAGCAGCGCACCTTCCGATCGGGACTTCAGTTGTCAGACACTTCGAGCCCTACTAGACCTTGTTGGTTAGTGGTGTTTCCTAGTAAAACTGTTGTTTCATTATTAATCCGAATATCCAAATCGTCCTTACGTCGAATTTTTAACGATTGCACCGACTTCGAAGATCAGCGACTATTTCCAATCCAGACGTCGAAGATACCTGAAGGCATCATTTGTTGTCTGTTATTAGACCACAGTATATAGAAGATATATAAGAATAGATTATAAAAATAAATCGTGGAATAAGGCAAGGAGATACATTGTCGCCGAAATTATTCATAATAGGCATTAGAATATGCCTTTAAGATGATCAATTGGGACCACAGAGGAGTAACGATAGACGGCGAAAAGCTTAACCATCTCCGTTTCACAGATGACATTGTCCTTATCACAGATAATTTAGGAGAAGCTACAGATATGTTAAACGAATTGGATTTTGCATGTTCGAAGGTGGGCCTGAGAATGAACTTGACCAAAACTAAGTTTATGACAAATTTGGTCCCCAATAACCATTTGACAATTCAAGACAAAGTGGTAGAACTGGTGGAGAAATATACGTATTTGGGTCATGAAATAAGAATCAGCAGGGATAACCAAACATGTGAGATCCAAAGACGAATTACTTTAACATGGGCAGCCTTTGGAAACTGCGAGACACACTTAGGGCCAACATACCAATCAGCCTCAAAAGAAAGTGTTTAACCAATGCGTAATTACCGGTCATGACCTATGGGGCGGAAACTATGACTTTAACCAAGACCACGGCTTCGAAACTGAGAGTGGCACAGAGACGAATGGAAGGGTCTATGCTGGGAGTGACGTTGAGGGACCGAATAAGAAACGAAGATCTGCGAAGAAGGACGAGTATTACTGATGTTGTGGAACGCATTAGCGGAACTAAAATGGAACTGGGCAGGCCATGTAGCGAGAATGCACGATTCACGATGGACGAGCAAAATTACAAATTGGAGACCAAGAGCAGACAAACGCAGTAGAGGAAGACCACCTACACTGTTGGGCCGACGACATCAGGCGTATCACTAAAAATTGGCAACAAAGAGCACAAAATCGTGAGGAATGGAGGAGTTTAAGGGAGGCATATGTCCAGCAGTGGACGTGATAAATAGAGGCTGGATGATTATACCACAGTGCACGAAAGCCGAGTATCAGCTGTAGAATCGCTCTCTGTCAGAAACATACGTTTTTTGAAATAGGAAAACAGTAGTTTTAGAACTATTACAAATTGCGTCGAACTGACACCGACGATTTATCGAACAACGACGGTGAATACGAGGAGAAATCTCGACGGAGACTTATATTCGATTTCACCGCTCCGAGCCAAGCCACGACGACGCTTCGACACTTTGAACCTTATACATTTTTCAGTAATTAGTAAACACTGGTAAAACTGATAGTGCGAAAGGTGGTGTACAAAGCGACGGGCTATTGCAGAGCCGATACAACGGGCATTTTGTGCCTCTTTCTAGGAGACAGAACGCGGCTATTCCTGATAAGAAGGAAACCGACATCTCTGCAATTTTGAGGCATATACCACGCAACAGAATTCTAACACATATTGTCATTGTAAGAAATATATTATCATTGTAAGAAAGCTTGAACTGTTAGAGAATTCTGTTTGCCGGTGTCACCTCGCTTGTTGCAGAGGCTCGATAAAGCTTCTTACATGAATAAGCCGGTATCTGTACCAACTCCTATACGAAGATGGATCATCGCAATACGAGATCATCTTCAAGAGCGGCGGTCGCTGAGCGTCCAGAAACTCCAGATAACGGAGAGGATGCTACGGCCGCACGACATGGCGCCCAACGTGGGGCGCCATGTCGTCGCAGCAAGAGTGTATCTATTAAATTATACACTCCGCTGTACGCTCTACTTAGAGGTTTCAGGCATCATAAGGTGAAATACCTCTAAGCGTGTGTCCATATTTTGGATGTGGATTTAATGTTTCTATTACTAAGTCTTGAAAAAGACTTAATAAAGGTAAGAAGGTAGGTAAACGTCGTAGAAATTAAAACACAGATGTACGAAGAAAGACTACTTACAGAGTCTTGAGGTGTGCGGTAGCAAAAGGTGGAGCAGAGCCCGACCGTTGCACTCCTAGAGCATACGTGCTCTAGATAGCGCTGTGGTCTCTCGACTGATGCCAAGATCCGAAGATTCCCATATTTAAAGATTATTTAATATTTATATGAGATTTTCGGATCTTTTGGCCAATAAGAACATGAATATAGGGCGACAATTATAGACATTTTTTGTACTTCTTAATTCATTTAAGCCATTTATTTAGTTGCACGTAATTTTTTAAAGGTTAATTAAAATGTTAATTAAAATAAAAAATTAAACTCAATAAAAACTGTTTTTTGAAAAAAGTGATAGGAGGCAAAATTTTTAAAAAAATAATGTGTTAAACTAATGATGTCACAAAATTCATTTGATTTGAACGTACTCAAAAGTTTGGGCTGATTTAGGGTTGCACGCCCCCTTAAAATTTTTCTGTGCGTTTAGATTTTGATGTTTCTTTCGTATGAAAAATGCTTTCAGAACAAGAAAGTAACGTGTCCATTTTTATTACAACATGTCGAGTAGTTTAGGAGCTAATGCAAAAAAACAATTTATATTTTGTAACTTCAAAGGGCTGTAACTTTTTTTGTGTAGACTTTTGTACTAAG